GCTATTTCTTCCCTCAGGGGATTCTCCCAGCATGGGGAACCTCAGCTGGGAGCAGGACTCCCTGCAGGCACCCCGCTGCTCCACAGCCCCACGCAGACACAGCCCTAACAAAAGCTCCTTCTTACACGGCCGGGATGGACAAGCCAAGAGAAGGAATTAAGCCCCAAATCCACCCATGGGTGCTTGTGTCCGTGCTCCCAACGGTGACGTCTCCCAACATGGGGTGGTAGGAGGGGTTGCAGTAAAATCCCCCCTCCTGTTCCAGCCATGCCGGGGACAGGGCTAAAACCCCTGGTGAGGACCCGGCTTCAAGCACTTGTCCCCTCCAGCTGCTCAGATGGGACATTGCACCTCCACCTCCCCGGTGGGTGCTACACCAGCCTGGCCTGGCCAGAGCAGTCCCAGCTCAAACCAGCCTCCAAAAACAGCTATGCTAATGCAAATGAGCTCAGTAACGCTAATTACCACCAGGATTCAATTTGGTGATGAAGATTCATTTGCTTCCTGTGCATCGTGTTGTTCAAGGGACCGTGCAAAGGTCCCCCCACTGTGCACAGCTCAGGCCCCCACCTCCTTGAGGGCATTCTTCCTCATGAGGGTATTTTGGGGGTCTCCCCAGACCCCCCCGCTCCGAGCAGCTCATCTGCAGACGTTAATCTCACAAACGAGACTTCAGCTCTGAAGCCAAACCAGCACCACCGACCATGTCAAACACAGCCATGCCAAGGACAGACACCCCCTGCCCTGAGAGCAGCTGTGGACTTTTGGGGTGAAACCACCACGTCCTTGATCCACGTGCACCCTCCCAGCAAGGATGCAGCCCACGCAGGTTTCCACCCCAAAATACATGGCGCCGGGGTCCCCTGCACCCCATATCACCCATCCTCCCCCAAGCCCCTCCAGGGCTCCCTGCAGCCAGGGCACCAAGGAGGAGACTCTCTCCTGGCAATAGTCGGGGGGAACAGCGTCCCACCACCCACCCCGGGAGCCCATCAGCACAGCCAGGTTGGCCGTGGTCCCTCAGGAGCTGGGGAAGGGCAGGGGGGTGCAGGCAGGCGCCGGGCTCACCTCCGATGCGGGCGTTGTAGGCGATGCCCACGATGCAGTACGAGTTGTTCGCCGCCGCCGCCACTTCCCCCGCACAGCGGGTGCCGTGCCTGCAAGGAGAAATCCCCCGTGAGCTCATGTCCCGTGGTGGAGGATCCCTCCCGGCCACCTCCTACCCAAAAACTGGCCCCAAGGCTGCAGCAGCGGAAGAAAGTGCCCCAAGAGCTGGAGAGCCCTTATCCAAAACTCACAGCAAGAGCTGGGGGATGGAGGAAACTAATGCAAAAAGTAATTTGCTGTTTGCATTTTGCACCTAAATGCAATTTGGTCTTTGCTTTTTGCACCTCGATGCAACTTGCTTTTTGCATCCTGTACCTAGATGTGATTTGTTCTTTGCATCCTGCACCTAAATGCAATTTGCTCTTTGCATTTTGCACCTCGACACAACTTACTCTTTGCATCTTGCACCTAAATGCAATTTGCTCTTTGCATTTTGCACCTCGATGCAATTTGCTCTTTACTTTTCAAACCTAGACACAACCTGCATTTTGCATTCCCGTCTCCTTTCCGCGTGCACCACCACGTGCCCGTCCCTCTTTAACCAAAGCCCAAAAAGCACGTCCAAACTTTGACATCTCAGCCCGACTC